TGACCAGAAGGTTGAAGGAAGTGATCCTGCCCCTCTGCTCTGCTCTCGTGAGACCTCACCTGGAGTATTGTGTGCAGTTCTGGTGTCCTCAACATAAAAAGGACATGGAACTGTTGGAACAAGTCCAGAGGAGGGCCACGGGGATGATCAGGGGCTGGAGCACCTCCCCCGTATGAAGACAGGCTGAGAAAGTTGGGGCTGTTCAGCCTGGAGAAGAGAAGTATTTGAAGGGGTCCTAGAAGGGTGCTGGAGAGGGACTCTTCCCTAGGGACTGTAGCGATAGTACAAGGGGTAACGAGTTAAAACTTAAACACGGGAAGTTCAGATTGGATATAGGGAAGTTCTTTACTGTAAGGGTGGTGAGGCACTGAAATAGGTTGCCCAGGGAGGCTGTGAATGCTCCATCCCTGGCAGTGTTCAAGGTTAGACAGAGGCTTGGGTGACATGAGGTGTCCCTCCCCTGCAGGGGGGGTGGAACTAGATGATCTTAAGTTCCTTTCCAACCCTAACTGTTCTATGATTCTATGATTCTACTCTTCTTAGCCTTGCAGGATTGCTTTCTACATACATAGTGGTCCATATGTTGAAGGCTTGCTGCATGGGGAGTGAGAAGGTGAATCATAAGCAGCAGATCTCAGTTCACACAGAGGAGCACTGAATGCTCTTTGTCAGCACCTGTTACTGTACTGCGCTTTGGGTACTGGGGAAGGACAGGGCATGTTATATACTGCCCTGCAGTTTTACTGCTGCCTTTCTTGAGATTGCTCACTACTGACTGGCATCCATTACAATAAATACTTAGAAAGATGCTTCCAAAAGTCCAAAAGAGTGAAGATATGGATGTACCACATCCAGAACTGTTTAGTGACAGCTTAATTGAAGCAATTTCTGTTCATGCAGTTCTGAGTGGAGGAGACCTGCTAATTCTGACCACTGTTCCTGCTGCTACATTTTGATGTTAGTGAAGACTTTAAAACAAAGATGTAGCTTCAAAAACACCAGTCGAACTTTTGCCCATCAGAAAATTTCAGTTTTTTTCATGTAATGACACAAAAAAAATATAAGAATTCTCCAAGAAAATAAAATGGTTTGTTTCTTTGTTTGTTTTCCCTTGCTGGTCAAATCTTGTCAAATCTGGGCTAAATGGTTGAATATACTCCTTTCAGTGCCTTCTGCCTGCTTGTTCAGTCCCCACACATTTTTCACTGCCTCCTCTCCTCATAGGGCACTCTGCCACCAACTTTATGCTCCCCTTTGGAGTGGAAAAGAGCTGAGTGATGTGCAATCAGTTTATCTTGTCCCTGTTTGCAGCAGGGGTGTAATACATGAACCTGCTGTGGATCTCTTGTGGATAAAAGGGAGGCTGTGAGAAAGGATACTGGTGCAGAAACAGTATTCTTGCTGCTATGACAGAGGTGCATGACATCCTCCATGCAGGTAACAGTGCATTTCCTGGCAGTGCTGTCTGTTGTACAAACCTGTGGCTGCATACTCTGGGTTTGCAAAGGCCCTGATGTTCAAGCTGTGCTTCTCCTGAGAATCCAGAATCACCCTCCCAGGTTTCATAGAGTTATAGAACAGTTTGGGACCTTCAATATCATCTAATTCCAACCTCCCGCCATGGGCAGGGACACCTTCCACTAGACCAGGTTGCTTCAAGCCCGTTCAACCTGGCCTTGAACACTGTGCCCCAGGGATGGGGCAGCCACAGCACATCTGGGCAATCTGAGCCAGTGCCTTGCCACGTTCATATAAGATACATGGGTTCATTTCACTGGTTCCCCATGGTTCCACCCTCACAGGGAAGAACTTCTTCCTGAGATCTTTTCTAAATCTCCCCTCTATCAGCTTAAAGTCATTACCCCTTGTCACTATATGCCCTTATGAAAAGTCCCTCCGTTTTTCTTGTAGGCCCCCTTTAGGTATTGGAAGACTGTTAAAAGGTCTCCCTGGAGCCTTCTCTAAATTGAACAAGCCCAGCTCTCTTGGCCTGTTTTCCTTCTGTTTCCTTTGAGACACGAAGCAGTGGCTGTCTGGATGGGTCAGTTAGCTGTGCAAATACCTGGCAAGTTTAGTTTCCTCTGATAGAATTTAAGGATCTTTGTGTATTAAGGTGGCAACCCACTCAAGCTGCTTAGTGTTGTGTTCAAGGACAGGTAGGAGAAGGACTCAGGTCAGAGCTTTCGTATGACAATGACATTTTTGAAGCAAGCAGGAGGTGCCAGCCGCACATGCATGATGGCTCTGTGAAAAAGCTAGGTAATCACGTCCCACTCAGTATACATGCAAGTGCCTGTGCATCCTAGGGACACTATGAGAAAGAAGGCTGCTGCCTTGTGTTTTGCACTGTTATAGGAAATATCCACATCTTCTGAGAAGCTTATTGTTTGACTCAAACCTTAATGGTTTACTAAAAGGGCAAGGTGGTTAGTTTGTTGTTGGTTTTTTTTTTCTTTTAGCATTCTGTCTGTAGTTTTTTTTTAAGCATTTATATTTATTCTTAAAGGTTTTCCTCTTTGTCCCGTGGGATAAGAGACTTTATCTGGAAATTCTGTTTTGTGAAGCACAGCAGACTTACAGAAAGGAAAGGCTGTCCTTTCTGCAAAGGAGTGAAAGATGTGGGGCAGGGGCAGAGGCACATAAAGGTAGAGAGAGAACCAGTGAACAGTTGATCGTAATGCATCAGCAGCTGAAGCAGGTGTCTGCTAGGCATCTGGAGAGCCGCTTGTGAAGAAGGACCAGTTGCAAGCAGGGCTTTCCCTGTGGCTCATAGGGGAACGTTACAGCATTTGAAGGGATGTAGGAAAGCCAAATGACTTTATGCTACTGAGAAGAGTCTAAGTGGAATTCACAAGATGGTTGCAGCTACACTGTTGCATGAGTGTTACAGTGTCTACAGAGCTGACTGTCGGAATCGGTGGAATACGAAGGCTCAAAGGAAACATGCTAAGCATAGACGATGACTGCTTAAGCCTTGTTTTGTATGTCCTATGCGTGTCTTTCAAGGCTGCAGAATTCTTATGTTTCTATTTGGTCTGTGGTTTCTTCCCAGTCACTCTCTGGAAAGGGAGCAGATTTCCCATCCTATAAGCTTTAGTTTTCTTCAGAAAATAGCATTTAACTGCAAGGGTAGTTGTTTTTGATCAGAGATGCTGCTCAGAGCCAGTTACAGCAACGGTGTGGCTGAAAGAGCAGTTTTGAATTGTGTTGCATAAGAAAGAGCAGCCAGGAGAATACTCAGTGAAAGAACTCCTGAAGGGTTGAATTTTATGGACCTCTTTTTCTGTCCATTGCTGTGCAGCCAGAAAGTGGGCCAGAATGGCTTCCTGGGAGTGAAAGAGACATCAAGAAATGTTGATCCTGTCCTCTCATCCTTGTTAGAATATGTGAGTTAGGGAGAGCATTTTGAGTTGGGTTGGTGCTGATGAAAAGAGGTGCAGTTTGTGTTGAGATAAAGTTTTGGCCTCATTTCTGTCAACTTCCAACCATCTTGTTTATATATTGTGATTCTGTAGTAGCTTACTAATGTACCTGCTATAGCATAGCTCCTGCAATGGACCAGCAGCACACTGTCCTGCGTACTGTCCTAGCGTAAGAGACAATGTCCCCAACGTGCAGAACTTACTGTCTGAGCAGAAGACACAAGAGTGGAACTCAGGACATACAAATCTTGCAAACTGACCAGAAGATACAGTGTAAAAGGTGGATAGAATAATTCTGTTTCTTTGCTGAAATACTGTTGAAACACAAAGAGTTGATATTCTTCATGGCTTCTTGTAGATGAAGATCTATTTTCTGTTCATTTTGGTTTGGCTCACTTTCAGCCCAGTGAACAGTTCTTTCCAGTGTTTGAATGAGTAAATGAAAATGATATGTGGCTATAGGCTTTCTGTATTTTAGAAGGCACAGTGTTAAAGTGGCAAATTTCCTCTGTCTGGTTTGATAGAGGAAAAGTGGACTGGTGAGTTCAGTTTGGGGTCTGGAAGCTGCCCTTGCCTTTACATCTTCAAAAGAAGGGATGTTGTTAGGTGCAATTTAAATTGCCATGAATTAATCAGATCTGAGCCAAACCTTTTTAGTTCTGCAGTTCTTCAGTTCACTAGGACTAAAACCACTCTGTTAACAGCAGGAGGTACACACAAGGAGCAGGTTGGGTGAGCAATTATTTTGATATTGATATTACTTTTATAATTCCTGGAACCACATATATTTGCAGAGTACCAGGATGAGTAAACATCAGTACACTGGACCATATTTGTCATAAACAAATTTGAGTTGATGACCTTAGTTTAGAGACTTCTTCTTCTAGTGCAAACAACAGTGTTCAGCAGCTTGTGCTGGCCACTCAGTTTCTTGCTTCATTACTACTGTCTGTAGAATTCCTGTGACTCTATCAATCCAAGAGCTAATCTCTCATAGTGAGGAAATACACCAACGCTCTGCCTCCCCAAGGCAGACAAGATTTGGCTGTAAACCTCATTGTTGTGCCCTGAAGTGTTTGATACAGATAAAGGCTGTGTACTTGTCCCTGAAATGATGGTTAATGGAAGAAAGATGTCTATGTTGGTAACACTTGCCTGTACATTGATCAAAGCTTATCCTTCAGAGATCCCAGACTAAAATAGAGAAAGGCTTTGCTATGACTAGGTATAGCAGCTTTATCTTGTTGAGAAAACATATAACTTGATCCAGAAACCATGAAAAAGGACTGCAGAGGTTACTGGTTCATTGTCTGCCACTATGACCATCAACATGGACTAACAAAAGCACCGGGCATGAAAGACTGGTTGGGCAGGAGGAATCATAGTGTTACAGATGTTAACGTCTTCTGTTAAAGAACATGGTCTTCCCAAGGTGCCAGTGGATCTCTTCATTGTTTAAAAAAAAAAAAAAAAAAAAAAAAAAAGTGATTTTGTGTTGGTAATTCTGAAAAGTGCCTAGAAGATTTCCTCAATCTTTTGTCATTCTGTTTTCCTGTGATTTCTGTCACTTTCAGGTAAATGGAAGATTTGGAGACTAACTTAATCCAGACAAGCAAAGCATGTAGAATAGAGCAAATGGTAGCAAAATGGCTTCACCGCGCTCTGGATGGTGCATCAAGGTAAGCATGTTTTCTGTGAAAGAAACATATGTGGATCACCTTTGATCAAAGACAGTGCAAGCTTGTTCTCAGCAGGAACAGGTTTCAGATCTTACTCGTTGTTTAAGCTGTTTGTGGGAAATATGCATACAGTAGTCCCTAGGGTCAGGAAGGAAAAAAAAGAAGGTGGATTTAAGCATCCCTCTTGGCTTCCAGGGACAGATGTTCCTGCTTTAAGGCATTCTTGTTTTGCAAGCCACAAAATTCTGCAGAAATACAACATTGCTTAATGTAAAATGTGCTTTTCTTGAAGGAAGGACTGTACTTCTCTTTGTGTCTTGCCATGGGCCCATGTTTTTAGCTCAAGACTGAGTTACACTTACAAGGGATCCTGGCCCACAGCTCCCTTACTTTCCTGAAGTCTGTGAATCAAAATTAAGGTAGAACAGATCCTGACAGAAGCAGAGACCTGTAAATTTTGGCACTGCCTTGCTGGTTAAAGGTGTTGCTGTGATCTTTGGAGGTCAGGGCTTACTGCGGGGCACACCTAGATTTCTCCCTCTGTGACCACTGGGTTGGGGTGGCTAGAATAGTTGTGGTTACAACCAGCTAGTGCCACTGGTTTTTTACCTTAAGCTTTCTGTGGAGCCTAGAGGATCATTTCTGGCCTGCACATTGCGGGGCCACCTGTGGGTACCCAGAGAAGTGCTGGCCTCTCTGTGTACTGACGCAGTCCACTGAAAATGCATGTGGATCTATGACCCTTCTATAAAGTATCGTCAGATTGTATCCTAATGACCAGTTTTGTGTCTCACAGGGGCAGCGTGTCTGTGACAAACAGCAGTAATGATGGCAGTAGTCAGCCTGCCAGCCGTGTCAAAATTACTGTCACAGTATATAAAGATTTGGTCCTCCATCATTATGGCTTTGAGATTTGTCCAAACCTTCCTCTTACAATTGCCTCTGTTACTCCAGGTAAGCACCATTTCCTTGTCCCTACAATCATAAGTATGAGAAGCCTGAATTGTCCCAGTTGGCCTTAGTGATGAACTCTGGCCAGTATTTGAGTTTTTCAGGTACTTCTGGTTCGCATGTAATCCCTGAATTTTAAGGGCAAAAGCCTGTGTGCCTATGGTGTGGAGAGTGCTTGAACATCTACTGCATTCGGATGGCGTGGAAAAATCTAAACTAATGGCAACTTCACTGCCAATTTTTAGCCTGCACTCAGACACAGCTGATCATCAGGGACGTGAAGATCTGTTTTAAAGCAAAGTTCTTTCTTGTGTTTTACCTGAAATACAAAGGAAGAGTTTAATCTAATCTTAGGAGTTTTTATTCCCTAGGAACTTATATCCGTGTAACACAGAGATCACTGCTAGTTACAGGCAGTCCAGGTGAAATTCTGCTTAAGTTGGGCAGATCAACTCTTCCAGTTATAAAAGGTATAACTCGGCTTTTAAGTTGGCTTGGGGGTTTTGAATAAAAACCTGTGAATCTGGTTTTTTTTTATATACCTTTTTCTTTTTTAATGAATGCACAAAAATGTGTGCTTTTTTATCTGTTGGTATGAGTGTGACATCCAGAGAAAGACTATGCTCAAGCTGGGCAGGTAGGTGCTGGGAGGGTGGCAGGAGGGCTGGCTTAGGCTCTGCCTCTAGCTGCCCAGTTGGGCTGTGGCATCCACCATCTGCCTGAGGGAATGGCCTGTCCAAGCTTGTGCTTGTGGGATGTTTATTATAAAGGCACTACAGTGTGGTCTCTGTCCTTTCACAGTGATTTTGAGTGAAATTTTCTCTTTTTGCCTCTTCCTATGGGAAACATGGATAAATTAGCTGAGGGTATTGGGGTCTAAGAAATGGGGAAGGAGGTTTTCTGTCACACTTTTTTCCTAATCAGAAAGAATCAACATTTTGTTAAAACTGAGGCATGAAGAAACCTGTCCATTTAAGTCCTGTCCTTTGCTGTGGGAGTCCATGGCTAAGAGCCATTTGTTTAATTCTAGGTGAGCGTGTTTTGCCTTTCATATATGCTATCTGGCCCTGGGATCTCCCTGAGGCGCAGGTGGAAGGTGCTGCGGGTTGCATGCTCAATCATTCATCTCAGACCAGAGGTCCACCTGCTCCTTAAACCTCTGGCATTTTCAGCTGCCACTCTCCTGGAAAGCAAAACTCAGAAACCATCTTTTCCCCTTGTTGTGGGTTCTCCCATCAACCAGCGAGGTTATGAAGACCTCCTCTCCCAGGTTGCACAGGGGGATAACCATGCTGGAAATCAAACCCACATCTCTCAAGGACTGCTGCATCAGTCTGGATGGTGGCATAGATGGTGAATCCTTGGTCTCGATAGTGGCATGCCAGGAGTGCCAGGCCCTGGCCCATGCACTGTATGTGGTCAGCCACTGGGATGTAACCAGCACGGTCAGGCCAGGGTGCAGATCCCGCAGAGAGGAGCACCATGGTGTGCTCCAGAGGCCTCTGTGTGCCCAATGCCTGCAGGCAGGTCAAGGCACTGCTTCTACCTCCCAGTCCTCCTGTGGTTATCCAAGAGCCTGTGAGCTATCCTGCTGCACCCTGGGCAGGGATGTGTGTTGGGCTGCAACAAGGAAAAAGGCAATGCATGAGAGTGATTTTCTGTGGTGCAGGGGCAGCTCATGGAGCCAGAGAACAGCCCAGGAGAGGTGGCATGGACATGGTCAGGGGTATACTGGCTCCCATCAGGATCCAGCATCCTATGGCCCCTTTTTATTTTGCCATCCAGAGGCAGTTGCTGAGGCAAGTGTGTTCCAGGCAGGATAAGGAGCTCACAGTGAGCATCCCTGATGGGAGGAGGTCTGCTGGTATGGTTCTGTCATGAGTAACCGTGTACCACTCACTCACAGGGAGCACTGCCGAAGGGAAGCTGCAGCCAGGTGACCAGGTCCTCCTGATAAACTCCACCGTGGTGGATGACCTCTCTGTTGAACGAGCGGCTGACATCATCAGGTGTGGTTCCTCATGGCCTGCAGAGAGGGCTGAATGGAGAGGTGTAGGGATGAGTTCTCACTAGGGGTTACAAGGGTGCACAGTGATGTGGGGCTGGCTCAGTGTGGGCCAGTCCCACAGGAACAAGTCTGCCCTGCAGCTGAAGGGCACAGCAGCCCAAGAGAGTGGGTTCCCTCACTTTTATCTGTCTTGGTTGGACTCTGCTGAGAGCCTTCCCTCACAGTGGGGATGGAGGGGCTGGAGGCCTCACTGGAACTATCTGCCATGAGACTGGGGGGAAGGCAGAGGCAGCTGCTGGCCCTGGCTGACTACATGTCTCTGTTACAGGGCAGCCGGTGATGAGCTCCTGCTAACGGTCCTGCGCTGCACGTCGGTAAGTGGCCTTTCTTCAGGCCTCAGCACTCCCAGCAGCACTGCTGCCGTGTGGCCCACAGGGAAGATGTGGCGGCTGGGCTGGCACACAGGGTACAAAGGCCTGACCAAAGCTGGAAGAGAGCTGCACAGGCTCTCCCCTTTTATGCATGCCCTTTGAAGAGGTTTTGGGGAGAATCAGTTGTAACTCCTCATAGCTCACCTGGGTGAAGAACCATGGTGGCTTTCAGAGCCCACCACATGCAGAGGCTTGCTGAACTGTTTAAGCCCATACTCATTGGAGCTGGAGGCTCCATCAGGAGCTGTGAGAGCCTGACAAGGCTCCATAGGGGACAGGAGGTCACAGTGACTGGAGCACAGGCAGGTTTCTTCAGCAAGCTGTGACCAGCCTGCTAAGAACAGCCTGGTGTGCTCCCCATGTGATGGAGCTACCTGAGACACGGGGACCATCCTAACATGAAAGATAGGTGCCAAGGCTGCAGGCCCAGCATCTGTCCTAGGTGCTCCTTGGAAGCTCTTGAGATTCTCCTTTTGACTGCTGGAAAAACTATTTTCTTTTTCTCCAGGCTCCATGTGGTTAAGGGCTGGGAACTGGGATTGGCTCATACTTTATTACAAAGCTTTGTTATAAAACTTTGGTGCTGACTGCCCATTTCTGTAGCATTAAATTCCCCAGAAGGCATGTACTGCCAATATGATGTGTTCATCCATGTGGATTTCAATGTGTATGTGTAAACACTGAGCTGCAAGGCAAGGTCAAAATTGGGTTTGTGTGCTTTTTGCTTTCTTGTGATGGCAAGTGGCCTGAGGGGGGGTTGCCCTCCACACCCTGGAAAGCATTCTGGGAGTGGTTTTTGTTTGTTTGGGGGTTTTGGGTTTTTTTAATTTATTCCTAGAAACAAGAATGAGAATTCTTTCAGAAGAGTTACTGAAGTTCTCAGGCTTAATGTCACGAAGTTTCTTGCCCGTTCAGTAAAGATACATTAAAAAAAAAAATCTCTTCAATGAATTTTTCCTGCCCAAAGTTTCCCATTCAACAGGTTTGCACAAAGCCAAAGTAACCACAAAAACTTTAAGCAAACCCACTTAACAGTGGCTTCCCTCTTTTGTTAATCTAATCTCCCTTGCATAGTACATTGACTGTCAGTCTTGCCAGGCTTGATCTGGCTCTGGAGACCAAGGGAAAAATGAATGAGTTTTATGAGGCTTAAATGCCTGCCAGAAGGGTTTCAGAGAGAAAAGGGTTTTGAAAACCCTTCATAGGATTTGGAACACCCTTCATGCATTGTTGAGAAGCAAATGGGGCAGAAACCCCTTTTTGTTTTTCCCTTTGCAGGTCATTTAAGGACACCTCTAAGTATGGTCAAGGCTGATCTTTGTTTTGGGGTTGTCTCTTGCCCCACTCTGAAGGCAGCTGTGCTTAGAGCTTAGAGGTAACGCCTCTCATCAATGGATACCAGACCCTCTGCTGGGGCTGCACTGGCCATACTAGAAGAGATATGGGAGGCCTTGGCACTCCTCAGGGCAGTTGTGGGGCATGATGCTCCATACAGCCCAGCAGACTCTGGAAGGGCTTGCTGGCCAAGCACAGAGAATCCTGCCTGTCTCCCGTCCTCTGTCCTTCCCAAATGGCCTCAGGGCAAGATGGTGCTGTGTCAGGTTAGGAGGTACCCGCGCTTCTGACAGGAGTGCAGGGATTGAGGGATACTGCTTCTGTTCTTCTTAGGGAATGACATGTTTTAAAAGATCTGGACATTTGCGAACAAGAAGTCAGTGGTTCCTAGAGTCACGTGGTGTATTGTGAGGTTGGTAGACCCCTGTCATGGTGAAAGCCTGGTTATGTGATATGGTTATGTGACAATAGTGTAATGGAGTCAAGTTGGCTTTTTAGTCTTGGGCAGTTTTCTTAAACATTTGCAACATGAGAGTATGGTCTAGAAACCCCAGCTGAGCTGGGGTATGCTGCATACATGGCTGTGTTCTTGTGATACACTGATAGGGGATTTTGTCTGTCACTGCAAGGCACTCTGCATGTGTTCATTTATGGTGCTGTGTAGCCTTACTGCAAGCCAGCTGTTGGTAGATAAACAGTTGTTCTGCAGGATTCTGGCTTCCTTGCAGGAGCTGGGGAGATGTGTAAACACAGTAGCTGGTTAACATGCAGTGAAATCAGGAGTGCAACAGGATGTGTTGCATGTGTCCACTTGGTGAACAACTGGGTCTGGGCTCATAAGGCAGCAACCACCCAGGTAAGTCTTGTAGCCCAGATAGGTTTTGCCTGTAGCAAGCCTGGAGGCTGAGAGAGTCCCAACATCACCTGTTCCTGTAAGTGTGCGGCAGTGTGGTGTGAGCAGCTTCAGTGTGGGCTGTGCTCGCACCCCTGCGTGTGCTGTGGGCCTATGCATCTTGTACCTAACCACAACAGACTGAGTTGCCAACCAAGTGCTCTTATTTTTTGTCAGGGCGGGCCCAAGTCATCATTTCTTACTGCAGAGAAGAGGGCAAGGCTGAAAACAAACCCTGTGAAAGTACGGTTTGCAGAGGAAGTGCTGGTGAATGGACACACACAGGTCAGTAGGGTATTGCTACAGCTGGATGCCATGAACAGTGCATGCTGGGAAGAAATAGGTCCCATCTGGGGACCGATACCAGGCTGGCTTAGTGTGGCCAAGACCTACAGAGTATCTGCACCTGGATATACATCCAGCCGTCTGGTGCCAACTTGTTTCCTAGGCCCATCTGCGATCAGGGAGGAAGCACTAGAATCTGTAGAGGGGCTCATGTTTTGTTTGCTTACTTAGACTAATGGAAAATACCTAATGAAGAGTCCCTCTCCAGCATCCTTGTAGGCCCCCTTCAGATACTGGAAGGCTGCTATGGGGTCTCCACATTCTCCATCTGAACAGCCTCAACTTTCTCAGCCTGTCTTCATACGGGAGGTGCTCCAGTTCCCTGATCATTCTCGTGGCCCTCCTCTGGACTTGCTGCAATAGCTCCATGTCCTTGTTATGTTGAGGACACCAGACGTGTACACAGCAATCTGTAGGTGGAGCTTCACATTAGTATCTGCCTGAGAGCTTCCATGGAGCTGTTTCAGACAGAGACTGGGCACCGGGGTTGTAGCAAGTGCAGAGGAGGGAGACAATCAATATGTAGTTTGTCATTCATTTAATGAGAAATAAAGGTTAGAGAAATTCATTTGTGTGTTGGGGTCCCACCGGCTCCAAGGTCAGGAGTGTTGTGTCCCAGCTAAAAGGATATGCGGCAAGAGGGCCAGGAGGCCTCTGTGGATGGATAAGGAGCTGCTGAGAAAACTTAGAGGGAAAATAGAATCTTACAGAAAGTAGAAGCAAGGACAGATGGCCTGGGAAAAATACAGGGATGTCATACAGGAAAGCAGGGACAGGGTCAGGAAAGCTAAGGCCCAGTTAAAACTGAGTCTGGCAAGGGATGTGAAAGGTAACAGGAAAGGCTTCTATAGGTAGATTGCAAACAAAAGACAGATTAGGAATAATGTGGGCCCTCTCTGGAAGCTAATGGGAGAACTGCCTACCATGGATTTGGAGACGGCTGAGGTTCTCAATGACTTCTTTGCCTCAGTCTTCACTGGCAAGTGCTCTGATCATGCCGCCCAAGTCTATGAAGGCAGACACAGGGACTGTGAGAATGGAGACATTAGGCCCGCTGTAGGAGAGGGTCAGGTTCAAGATCAACTTGAGAACCTGAATGTGCACAAATCCATGGGACCTGATGAAATCCATCCGCAGGTCCTGAAGGAGCTGGCAGATGAAGTTGCTCAGCCACTGTCCATCATATTTGAAAATCATGGCAGTCAGGTGAAGTTCCCAACGACTGGAAAAAGGGAAATATAACCCCCATTTTCAAGAAGGGGAAAATGGATGACCCAGGGAATTACAGACCAGTCAGTCTCACCTCTGTGCCTGGCAAAATCTTGGAGCAGATTCTCCTGCAAGGCATGCTGAGGCACATGAAAAACAACAAGGTGCTTGGTGACAGCCAGTATGGCTTCACTAAGGGGAAATCCTGCCTGACCAGTTTGGTGGCCTTCTATGACAGGGCTACAGAACTGATGGAAAGGGGCAAAGCCATTGATGTCATCTACCTGGACTTGTGCAAAATGTTTGAATCTGTCTCACATGATATCCTTGTCTCTAAACTGGAAAGACATAAATCTGTTGGATGGACCACTTGGTAGATAAAGAATTGGCTGAATGGCCGCACACAAAGTGTTGTGGTTAACTGCTCAGTGTCCAGCTGGAGACCAGTAATGAGTTGGGTCTCTCAGGGGTTGGTGTTGGCACTGATCTTGTTCAACATCTTTGTTGGTGACATGGACAGTGGGATTGAGTGTGCCATCAGCAAGTTTGCCAACAACACTACGTTTTGTGGTTCAGTTGATACACTGGAGGGACCTTGACGTGCTTGAGACATGGGCCTATGCCAACCTCGTGAAGTTCAACAATGTGAAGTGCAAGGTCCTACACCTGGGTCAGGGCAATCCCAGGGACAGCTACAGGTTGGGAAGAAAAAAGAGATTCAGAACTGCCTGAGGAGAAGGACTTGGGGATGTTGGTCAATGAGAAAATGAACATGAGCTGCCTTCAGTGTGTGCTCACAGCCCAGAAACCCAACCGTATCCTGGGCTGCATCAAAAGGAACGTGACCAGCAGGGCGAGGGAGGTGATCCTGCCCCTTTATTCTGCTCTCGTGAGACCTCACTTGGAGTATTGTGTGCAGTTCTGGTGTCCTCAACATAAAAAGGACATGGAACTGTTGGAACAAGTCCAGAGGAGGGCCATGAGACTAATCAGGGGACTGGAGCAGCTCTCGTATGAAGACAGGCTGAGAAAGTTGGGGCTGTTCAGCCGGAGTATAGAACGCTGTGTGGAGACCTCATAGCAGCCTTCCAGTATGTGAAGGGGATCTACAAGGAAGCTGGAGAGGAACTCTCTATTAGGAACTAAAGTGGTAGGTCAAGGGGTAATGGATTCAAACTTAAACAGAGGAAGTTTAGGTTAGGTATCAGGAAGAAGTATTTTACTGTGAGGGTGGTGAGGCACTGGAATGGGTTGCCCAGGGAAGTTGTGAATGCTCCATCCCTGGTAGTGTTCAAGGCCAGGCTGGAAGAAGTCTTGGGTGATGTGGTTTAGTGTGTGCCGTCTCTGCCCATGTCAGGGTGTTTGATCTTAAGGTCCTTTCCACCTCTAACTATTCTATGATTCTATGGTGTTAGCTTCCCTTTTCAACAGTTGGATACACTATAATATTAGCATGAAGGAAGAGTAAATAAATGTGTTATATATTTATGACTATTTCTGGAAGAACACTGTTCATCATAGACAGCAGCTACTCTGCTTGAGTGTTCAGAACTGTTCTCCTTTCAGTGGACTGATGTATTAAGACAGCCAAAGTGGGTATTATGGCCCCGAAAAGCTGCAAAGCTTCCTGTTTCAGTAAATAGACTACTCACTACTCTTGTCATCTTAATGGAGCATTGCTAAATGATCTCTGTGGCAACTGCAAGGAGCCCAGAGGCTGTGTTCTGCAGTTGAAATCTGAAACCCCAGTTTGGGAACATAAATTGTTAATAAGCCTCAATGCTACACAGCCTTCATTTTCTATTGCAAACTGATTATGTATTTCTGTATAATGGAATGATATGCAAGACACAGGTCCCTCAGGATCCTCAGGCAGCATCAGTCAGTGTGTTATTAGAAGCTGTGGGCCTAGCTGTAACATGGAGTAAATCAACCTTGCACCAGACAAAACAGGAGGGGTACATCTGCTTAAGACATAGCAGAAGCTTTCAGAACTAATTCATAGTAGACTATTAGAACCTCAAAAATAGAGAGAAATCCCATGTGGGTGCTCTGGCCATCTGATTGGATCTGGCAAAGGGAGTGGTGATACTTAATTTGTCTATGAATTTCTATATAGATTTTAAATTCTTGTATGTGCTGACTGTAGAAGGCCTCATTCATATGATAACTTGTGACTGTGGGTCAACCAGAGAAAATGTGCAGTTAGTGTAAACCAGCATCACTTTTCTTAAATTGATGGAGGACCCAAAGCCTGTTAAAGATGTGATGTGTTTGTGCTACTCAGCATGCAGTTACAGCTTGGTCTCAGGAACAGTGGCAGTGTTCACTCTTTTTTCCTCAGTGATGACTGTAAGCAGCTTGAATCCCATGAAACACGGAGGGGAGGAGCAAGATTCAGATGTGGCTTATGTTTGTTCTGGTAATACTTCCAGGGTATATGCGCTCTCTGTCAAGATAGGCCAAGGTTGTGAGATTTACAAGGTGTTGCACAGAAAATGAACATAGGAGAGATCATCTTGGGAATGTGTTCTCAGCCTCGACACTGTAATGGCAACTAGATAAAGATTGGAGGAACATGCTTGTCCAAGAACATAAGAAGGACGTCCTGAAAGGGAAGTCCAAGGGTGGAGGAGTAACTTTCTCAGCACTGGAAAACAATAACACTGAAAACAAGAAGGAATATGCAGATGAGTTGTTCTAAAGAAGTAAGGTGGAAAGCTAAAGGTTGCAGCTCTCAACAGCCCTAGAAGGACAGAAGCCAAGTTCCCAAAATTTCAGAGCACCCAGTGGAGGTGCTTTTGTTATGGAAGTCAGTGCCTTTTCTAATGCATTTGAGATCCATCTCAAGAAACTCTGGTGGTATCATCTCCTGTTTGGGAAGCCCCAGAGACACAAATCCTGAGGGAATGCTCAATAAAGTAACTTGCATGTTTAGCTGAATCCTACAGCTTTCTTGTGGTGTGCAAGATCCATTCATGGAGTGTTTAGGTAGCTCTGAACTTGAAGTCATTTCTTCTGCTATTGGGAAAGTGTCAGCAAGGTGTTTAGTGCTGCCTGGTGCCCAGGAAGATGTCTTTTCTGGCAGACATCACTGCTTTTCTGGTAATGGAGTTGCATAATAGTCCGGGTTGAAAAGGATCTTAAGAGCATCTAGTTCCAATCTACCTGCCATGGGCAGGGACATCTCACACTAGACCATGTCACCCAAGGCCCTGTCCAACCTGGCCTTAACACTGCCAGGGATGGAACATTCACATTCCTTGGGCATCCTGTTCAGTGCCTCACCAGCCTCACAGTAAATAACTTCCTTATATCTAGCCTGAACTCCCCCTGTTTAAGTCTGAAACCATTAGCCCTTGTCCTATCACTACAGTTGCTGATGAAGAGTCCAGAGAAGATGGCCCTCAGCTTTCAGTATCTGCCAAATCTTCCTATATCATGTGGGAAGTGACCTGCAAGCATGTATAGGCTATGTGTATCTGTTGCACTGGCTGGAATTTTATGGTAAAGGCATTTTGTTATGCTCTTTCCTTTGTTCCATGCCATAAGCATCATCAAGGAATAAAGCTTGGTTCCACATAAGAGGTTTGCAAAAGCAGATAAAGATTTTCGTTTATACTAGCATGTGCTGTGTCATGCAGAGCAGACTAGTGCCTCGAGGCTTAACATCCAAGGATTAGTACTGTTGATTTTGTTCTGCAGGGGAATTCTCTTCTTTGTATGCCCAACGTTCTCAAAGTATATTTGGAAAATGGACAGACGAAGGCTTTCAGGTTTGAGACAAGCACTACTGTCAAGGTAACAATGCTTGGTTGTCTGCCTTTATTCCCACCATCTGAATTCAACCCAGTAGTAAAGGTACATCCAGTGGAATTTGCAACCTCTTGGTTTTATTGGCCAACTAGTGAAACTGGATTGCCAGCTGATGCTGAGCGTACTGGATTTTCCATGTTCTCTGTGCAGAGGAAGTGTTGCTTTAATTGACCACTCTTTTCTTCTCAGCAGCCAATTTTCGCAAAACTTGCAAGAACTTGGCTATGAGACCATTACACTTCGTGAAGTGTGATTGAAGTTGGGCAGGAGTATATAGGTTGGTGGGAACTGGCAAGTCAGCAGCTGTCCACTCTAACATTGATTTCTTTGGAAACCACGTGACAGAATATAGAGGAAGTTGTTTAATATAGCAGTGACAATGTGCATCCATGAGAGGGAGAACAAGACCTAGAATCTGAACAGTGGAGTCCAGGTTTGGCTATCATGTGGATATCATGTAAATTCAGCAAGTGCAATTGTGATGGTTGTTCCTTAAAGTTCCTGTCTGTGCAGCCTCATTTTTGCACTGGTGAAATGTTTATGTTTCCCTGTGGAGACATAAAACCTGATTAACCTCTTGAGGGGGAAAAGCAGTACCATCTACCTAAAATCACTTGTGCTTGGAGGCATAATAGACAGGTTACTGCCATTCTCTTCAAAATACAAGGTGCTGCTTTCCAGAGCCACTAACAAGCACTTTCCAGAATTTCCATGCTTAGACATAGACTTACAAACCTTAAGATTTTCTAGCCTGATCTTCAGAGTTGATTGGAGTTTATGTTGGAGTTAATAATATTTGCCTGTGCATAGTGATTGAAGGCCATATTTTTTTTAAAGGATATATGATGTCCTGCAGCAGTGCAGTTACTGTAGAAAAAATACACCATAGACAGGCTTTCTGGAGTTATCAGGCTGAAAGAATATTAAGGGGAAAAGCAAGGAGATTTTATTTATAATGCACTGAAAACTTTTCTCAGAAAGGAGAAATTTATTGTCTAGTTCATCCAAACTTCACATAACTGTTGTGGTTACCTATGCAAGTAAGTCTATGCAAGTCTTGTGACTTCCATGGCAGAGAAAAAGAAAATAATGAAATAAAGCAGGGAGACAGTAAGGAAAGGGGAGATGAGTTGTAAAGAGAGATCTGAATGACCACCTGCAAGGGATTAATTTCCAAAAGATGGATTAGCTCTTCATGTTAGGTTCAATTTGCTCACCTCTGATCTGGAACAAATTTTTCTGTACTGGAATTGAATGCAACCCTCACTAGCATCCTAACAGAAACACACAAATGGGTAAAATGCTTCCCAGGTTAGGTGCTTTCAAAAGTTCCTCTGCTGTTTAAGAGATCTTTGCTTAAAACTGAGGTGAGTCAAATAGTTGTGCTTACCTTAACAGTCTTGACTGAAGAAAGGGACTTCTCTTTCAATTCAGTCAAGCCTTTTATAATGTTTTCTGTTTGCCAAAAACAAACCCAGTTATTTTCATGAGACTTAGTATTCCAACAGAATTCTCCATATAACAGGAACACCAATTTCAATCAAATTAGGTAAGATTTGTACAGTTATGCTCTCAAATTCTTGTTTATTGTTGGGCCACCAGTTCTTTGCAGTTTCTTCAAAAAGTGTCATAGAGTTCTAGAAAGCTGGAACAGTCAACAGCAAACACTTGAATCAAGGGTGACAGAAAGTGCTCAACACCACCAAACTAAAAACTGTAAGGCTGAAACTTTCAGCATGGCTGGCTCTGAACACCATCCTGCTGACTGCCTGGCTGGCATGTTCTTGTGTTGCTTAGACATCTGGCTGGGATAGCATAGCAGCCAACTGCCCAGCTTGTGCTTGGTGTCCCAGAGAAGTTGCCATCTCCTGTATCTCCATTTCTGATGAACTTGCAGGCTTTCACTAGCTTTGAGACCTCTGTGGTTTGTTTAGGTCAACGTGCTCAGAAACCGTTAGTGAAGAGGGAAAGGCAATACATAAAGGCACTGGTTTCCTGTGAAACAGTGCTAAAAATTTCACTGTGTTGTAGCACCAAGCATGTTCTTGGCTGCAGAGAATTTTGTCTGGCCACTGCCCTTTCAGAGCTTTTCCACATGGCTGCCAGCAGCAGGCTAGAATCATCCACATTCATGCGATATACTAGCAGTGTTCAGCAGCTCTGTCTAAATTCTGTTTGACTAGCTATGGACTTTCCCTTCCCAGGACATTGTTCTCACCTTGAAGGAGAAGCTCTCAATCCGGAGCATTGCGCACTTTGCCCTTGCTCTGGAGGAGCAGTACAACGTGACAAAGATCCACCTGCTGCACGAGGAAGAGTTCATCGAGCAGGTGAGAAGAGCCCCTTGCATGCCCCTGCAGTCATGCTGTGAGGGGGAAGAGGGATCACCAGCACAAATTAATTTTGGCCAGTGAAGTGCAGAGAAAACTTGGCTCTGCAGGTATCACAAGAGGGTGTGAGCTTGGCCCCATCTCCAGAGGTGCTGTCCTCTCCCTGTTGCATGTGTTACTACAGCATTAAGTAGAGCTCCTGGAGAAATGACACTTTCAGAAGTGTCTCACTCCATTCAGAGTGCTCACAGAACGATACCCACGGGCTGTTTGGACTGCGTAGAGCAATTAAAGGGATGAGCATGTTTTGTGCCACCTGCCAGATAGGCCAGTCTACAGAGGACTGTTCCAGAAAATCTTAAAATAGCTGTGTAGCCAGCTGTTTACTGTTTCCTAGGTGGTCAGAGAGTTAACCCAGCCAGGTGCCACTTTGATTAAATTCTAAATCAAAAGCGTAACCTCTGCAAACATGAGGTTAGTTCTCTTAGTAATTCTATTGCGCTGCTACTAATTCTCAACTAATCTAATTTGTGAGAATGTGCCTACCTGGGAGTCTTATGTCCATGCTGTTGACTTTGTTGGTCAGTGTTACACTGTGATGCAGAGAGGTTCAGTAGCTAACGCTGTCCAACCACTGAGCATGTGTGCGTGAGAATTTCTGCTTCATTTCAGATGGTAAGTCTGCATGGAATTTTCCCAGACTAAAATATGCTAATGTGTAACCCAGGGGACATTGTATTGATATTATGATGAAGATCCGAGTGTCTATTTAGGGCTGCTGTTATCTTAGACTGAACATAAAAGCAGGGAAGCTTTGACCTTTCTCTGTCATTATCATATGGCCTTGCAGCATCTGTCCTGGTTATACTGCAAATAGATGAGATCAATGGATATTTAACGAAGCTTTGCTTTCAAAGAACTTCCAAGCTACCACAGGGAGAAGCAAAAACCAGGACAAGAATCTAAGATAAAATTACAAACATTAGCAATGTCTCCTTGTATTTGCTGAGGACAAATGGCTAATCTGCAGTCATCCCACTTGACAGTATCTTTAAATTATTTCTGAGTTCATACAAGGCAGAGGCTTACTATGCATTTATGAAGTGAAGAACTACTGCAGTCCTTTGGCATGATGCTGTTTGTCTGTTGCAGGTGGTCCAAAAAAGAGAATCTCAGGACTACCGGTGCCTCTTCAGAGTTTGCTTTGTCCCAAAGGATCCCTTAGACCTCCTGCAGGAAGACCCAATTGCCTTTGAATATCTCTACTTGCAGGTAAAATCGAGGCAGTCCGTGCTTTTGGATCTCTTCTCATCCAGTTCTCATTTCTGCTTTAAACCAAAACATACTTCAGGCCAGTTCATTTACATGAATGTGAAATGCAGAGCACTTAGGAACAGAGCATTCGGATTCAATTTGTCTTAAATTCTTAAATCAATTTACATTCTTGTCTTTTTTAACAGAATGAGATTGAAATTAGCTGAGTGGCTCCCTTTATGACTTACAATAGTTATATCAGAGGCCTTAATCTCACTTCTTGATCTCACATCATCATGCTAACTCAGCCATATTTGTTCCAGAGCTGCAGCGATGTGCTTCAGGAAAGATTTGCTGTGGAAATGAAATGCAGTGTGGCATTACGTCTGGCTGCTCTGCACATACAGGAGAGGATCTATGCTTGTGCTCAGCCACAGAAAGTATCCTTGAAATACATTGAGTAAGTTCCCAAATTTCTGTGCTATGTTGTAGCTAAGTCTGGCAGAACAGGGAGCCAACTAAAAGTGGCATCAGCTCTATGTTTACCTGTGTTTAGCTCTGGATAGAAGCCTGTCCCTGACCCAGAAAGACTGCAATCTCTTAGTTGTGCCAGTCATTTTAGGTCAAGGTGGCTTCAGAGCCTGTCTTTAGCCTGCTGAGCTGCTTGAATAATATGTACAGTATAACATCTGGACATATGCCTAAGCAGAGGGAGATTCTGATCTGTAGATAGAGCAGGGACATAAAATCTCTCAGTTATGGTTACTCAGGCTGCCCCTGCCACTATACTAAGATTTGCATGCAGTAGTTGAGAGAGAGGATATTAATCAACTCTGCACAGCCACTACACCCTTTCATCCACCATAACTGTTTTAGAAATATCTAATTTCAGCATAAGTAGTAAGTCCTGTGAAGTAATGGGATCTAGAAAAACAAATACCGAAAAATGCTTTCACAAGCAGTGAGTGTGCTGTGCTGCATGTCCATGATGTTAGACTGCACTTGCAACCTGAAGAACAGCCCTGCTTTAAGAATTTGTGATGAGCCAATCATTAAAAACAGACATTTGTGTCTGCCTCCATCAGCCTGGGCAAGTGCTGCTGATGCCTGCATACAGGCAGACATACCCAACAGTGTGCAGTTAATGAAGAGTGAGAAGTGACTTCAGACAACTGCAGCATTCTTAGTTCCTGGATATTTAGTCCTTGGGCTGAATAATGATCTACATTTTTGGGTGTAGGGAGCTGGAGATGTTACATAATGATCTTGTAACCAAAGTAAAGTTAAAGAACCTTCATCCTCTGGGAGGCACAGACAGACTGGGACCATTATGCTGACAAAGCTTGTAGATTGTCTCCTGTATAACCATGTAAAAATGGCCATTCTGCATGAAAGTGCATGTTCCTCCAACCCATCTCCTGTCTCAGTAGCAGAAGCACATAAAAGTGAATTTGAGTAAGGTAGTCATGTTCCATGAGCTACACCCAGACATGTTACAGCACCCTGATCTAGTTGGAAGATGTCCCTGCTCATTGCAGGGGTGTTGGACTAGATGGCCTTTGAAGGTCTCTTCCAACACAATCTATTCTATGATTCTATGCTTCTATGACTGGCATGGTGCCTTTGCCCTTCTCTGCCTCTGGTCAGCTGTTGTTCTGCACATTGTTGTGTTGCTGGGGGACAGCACAGCTGGGACCCCCTTTGCTCCCTTCCCATTTTTCTGGCAGGAGGGACTGGGGAATTGAAAATTTCATCTCACCAACTCTGCTTCGAAACATGAGAGGGAAGGATATTAAGAAAGCCATCAGCTACCACTTGAAGCAGAACCAGATGCTACTGGACCCTCGGCAAAAGGTAGCGTTTGTTCCCTGGGTTCAAGGTGTCTCCCAGGATGGAGGCAGCATCTCTCACAGTCAAAGAAGCAATGTCTTTTCTCCATGGGTCTCTCCTATGTGGGATCACTTGGGGTTTTTCTTCTATCTTTTCCTCTTATAACTTCTTTTGCTGTGCACACACTCTAATTTCCCTACAGAGTGTGTTCTGTTGTGGGGTTGCCACATGGCAAATGTGGTAATGTGGGGTGGTCCTGTACAGATCAAATGCTTATCCAGACCAAGCTAAATGTGTTGGTCAAATACTAAGTCCTGTATGAAAAGAACATCTTCTACCCCATAGGCTACCTGGAAAACCTTGTTTGTCTGTCATGTTTCTAAACAGTATTTCTTCTCTTGCAAAACGAAGCATATGCTCACAGCAGTCCAAGTGCGCCTGACCTACCTGCAAATACTGGGAGACTTGAAGATGTACAATGGGAAGATCTTTAACGCCACCCTTATGGTACGAGTGCATTTATTTATGCAACTGGGCTTTGGCATACTGTCTTATTGCCTTGCTTTGTGCATCTCCTATTGTACTTGGACAACAACGGCAAAGATAAGGACACAAGAAGGAGTTTTAACCTTTTTATTTCACCAGTGTGTAAGATCGTATCTTAACCAAAGCAAACCCTATCTAAGGCAGAAATGTTTCCATATTTTTCTTAATTGACTGTTGATGTGAGACTAGCAACCTTTTACTGAGTCTCCTCACTGTCTTTGCTTTGATCCTTGTAGAAAATGTAACATTAGCTCTGGTGGTGCTGTTTAAGACAGTTCAGTCACACTACTTTTCCCTACCCTGGGACTTCATGAGAAGTATTGGTAAGGGACTCTGCTAGGATAACTGAGCATAATTCTATTGAAGTGAATAACACACCAGCCTACACAATAATTCTCCATATTTTTTCAAGTTGAAAGCTGTGACTCTTCCTCTTCAGATGACCTCTGTTTATATTTTTTATGTTGTAAAGTACTTAAGAGATCTGGGGATATTTCAAAAACTCTTGAAGAGATATTGTCTATCTTTAAAGCTTACTGTAAAAAAGAACACTGCTCTTTTCACAGTCCCCAAGAGTTTCTTGCGTTGTTGTTTGCGTTTTTTTGCCTGTCCTCATTTGGATCTCTACTGAACTATAGACCACAATCTGTTTTGTACAGCACACCAAGCAATGTATCAGAGGAAGACCTTACTGAGGGGTTACAGTAATGCCTAGGTTTACAGTTCTGTGCAAATTGAAATAGTTTTGCCAAATTATTTGAGTGTTAATTTATTTCTAAGTGTCTGATCCCAACATAAAGTGTTAGGAAGAACTTCGCAAAGTTCTTCCAAAACCAGAATGCCTTCCTGAAGTTTCTAGCCAAATCCAGTAGGTCTCACTTGGTCCATCTGGCACAGCCTGCCAGGTGATAATTCTGATAGCAGTCTGCTGCTGATCTGACCTCTCTGGATCTGCTAGATGGCTGCTGCTTCTCTGGGACCATCTGCCTTGGGGGTACAGGAAACTGGTGGTCCCCAAGGCAGAGAAGAGAACAGCTGGGAGCAGGTGACCTGAAAGCCTGTAAGTAACAAGGGGCTCCCTTTGCAGCTGGTTACAGCACAGTTGTGAAGAGAGTCCAGTGTTAAAATAGCACACAAGATCAGGTGGCTGAGGAGTCCCTGCCCAGCACAGGCGATTTGGTTCGTGATCAGATTTTGGTTACAGATTTAACCTCTCCTCCTTACAGCTACAGGACAGAGAATCGTATGTTGCCTTGCTGGTGGGTGCCAAGTATGGGGTGAGCCAGATTATCAATAATAAGCTCAACATCATAACAAGTCTGGCAGAGTTTGCAAACATCAGCAGGGTGGAGCTTACAGAGGAGTCTGAAAAAGTGAGCACTGTCAAAATCTATCTGCAGGATCTGAAGGTAAGTTCTTGATGGTCGTGTCAGGGCTAGAGAACAAGTGAGGAGTCATCCACACCATGTATTCTTTTCAAAATCTGACATTTAGCTGGTGGTATCATCAGTAAAAAAGGCTTAGAGCAGACTTGGAAGGGGAAGCTCATAAAAGGAATATAAAATTACTGAAGAAAGGTGATTCTTCTTGCTATCCTCCATCAGTGAGACATATCAAAGAAACAAAATATGAGAAAACCAATGTATCTTGTCCCTCTGTGCCTCATGCATAAACAGTGCTTTGGAACGATGGTGGTATGGGGGAGAGGGAATGTCTTTTCAGTGTGCACCATGTTCCTGCAGATGGCGATACAAATAGCGATATTTGTAAATTCTAAAATATTTTTACTGTTCTCTTCCCTCCATGTCCTTAAACAAACAACAAGCTGCTGACTCTGCTCCTGGAATCCAACAGTGCAAAAGACCTTGTCTGTCTCATCATTGGCTACTACAGACTGTTTGTGGATGCAAATGTCTCCATATTTACCTGGGGGGAGAAAAAACAGCAACTGCACCGTGTCTCAGCCGAAGAAGGTTTAAAAAACCCAGCTTGTTCGTTTGTTTGTTTGGTTGGTTTTGGGGTTTGGATATTTTGTGTGTGTGTGTGTGTGTGTGTGTGTGTGTGTGTGTGTGTGATTTTTTTGGGTGGGTTTTTTTTTGTTGTTGTTGTTGTTGGTTTTTGGGGGGTTTTTTTGGTTTTTTTTTGTCAAAGGATGGGGAGAAAGTGGGTGGATCCTCCAGCACTGGAAGTGTTATTTCCTCCTGGGAATAGTGTCATGCTAGAACAGTAGCCCAGTGGCATCTGCAAGTTATTAAGACTGTCAGCCATGGTGCAGGCAGTGTCAGGTTTCCATCAGCCCCAGACTGTCAGACAGCGGAAGAGCAGCAGTAATTGGCAGCTTTTCCCAAGAAGAGAAAGCTGAATGCCTGTCACCGAAACGGCAGACATATCACTGAGCACTTGTGTTCTTCTGCCAGCCTCCTGAACAACTCCCATCTGCTGGCACCCCTCTGCCAGGAGGGAGAGGATCCTTTTGCCATGCTGTCCTGTCCCTTGTCAGGATAATTGCAGCGTCATAGGGGTTACAGACTGAAGCTTTAGGCAACGAGTTAGCTGGCTGCTGTTCCACAGCTCCCCCGGTAAAACCAGGCAAAGCAGGCAGGAGGGACCAAACCTCCACTGACAGGTTGTGTATGGTCCTGGAGGTCTGATTGCACCTTCATCTTGTTTGCTAATGAGCAAGTGAGGGCAGAACTCTCTGGGCTTTAAGGCTCTGCTCTGCAGACAAGTTCATAACCCTTGTCTGGCCGTGCCTTCTTGCCACTGTAAGGGACAGGCTGATAGATGTGTTTAAATCCCAGGATACGAATCTCGAACCTGCAGTGACTCTGAAGACTCCTGGGAGCAGGATTCCTCTTCAGACCATTGCTTGGACACTCCTACAGCACACAGCAGTGCCCATCCTGTGTGCAACAAGGAGGAGCTGGGAGAGCTCCACAGTCTGGAAAAGGACAGCACAAAGCCCCAGTCTGAAGGGAGTGAGCAGTATGATGCGTGTGACAATGCAACAGACAGCGCATCTGAGGCTTCAGATTCAGCCAACACTGAGAGCCGAGGATTTAAGACAAGTGGCTCCAGTGACTCTATGGATGCACTGGAGGAAGATGAGTTGGAAACGTGCTCTTCCTTCAGGCCAGAATTCTTCCACTTCTACATACCAACAGTTCAGGAGATGAGCCACTCAGACAAGAGCTTCTTCCCCATTCATGCTGAAGGAGGCTCCATCAGGGCAGAAAATGGAGACTACTTCTGCTTCTTGCAGGTACCTCATGCAGAGGACCTTGGGTGTGAGAACAGTCCCTCTGAGCAGAGAGGGGAGGACATTGGTACATCTGTGGTGAAAACCAGATTGTCTGAGAAAAACACCATGGACTTCTACAACTTGTGCTACAGCATATACCCTGCAGGCAGTGTGGAGAGGAGCAAAATCAGCCACAGCCCTCAAAGAAGTCCTTGGAAAGATGAGTCTTCCCAGGAAGGGGCACCATGTGGAGCAGATGTGACTGCAGAGGCAAGCGACCCCATTTTGGAGCCGCCCCCAGGCTTTGGTGACACCAGCTCTGAGGAGGAGGAGTTCTATGATGCTGCAGACAGGCTTAGCCCTCCAGACGCCTTGGCAGGTAAAAGGTCACCTATATGCTGCAGGCCACCTTTCTTTCACCCCATGGACTAGGGTGTTGCCTTTTTCCCATGTCAGTCTTCCTAGAGAGATCATCTTTCAGCTGTTCATAGATTTCCCAGGATTTTTAAAGGACCTTTGAACACCCATTCTTTATAAACCATTATTTTTTGGGGCGAGGAATATAGAACAGTTGTTAGAGGATGTAGGGAGGCAATGAGGACAACTAAGGCCTCCTTGGAACTTAATCTTGCTAGTTGGGTTAAGGACAATAGAAAGGGTTTCTTCAAATACATAGCAAATAAAACTAACACAAGAGGCAATACAGGCCCACTGCTGAACGAGGTGGGTGCCCTGGAGACAGAGGATATAAAGAAGGCAAAGGTGCTGAATGCCTTCTTTGCCTCTGTCTTTACTCCTGCAGACTCTCCCCGGGGGGCCCAGATTCCTATTGCCCCAGAAGGAGTCAGGGCAAAGGAGGAGTTTGCTTTGGTAGATGAGGATTGGGTTAGGGATCAGCTATGCAATCTGGACATCTATAAATCGATGGGTCCGGAGGGAATGCACCCACAGGTGCTGAGGGAGCTGGTGGAGGTCATTGCTAGGCCACTCTCCATCATCTTTGGTAAGTCAGGGGAAACAGGAGAGGTGCCTGAGGATTGGAGGATGGCAAATGTCACACCAGTCTACAAGAAGGGCAAGAAGGAGGACCCGGGTAATTATAGACCGGTCAGCCTTACCTCCGTCCCTGGAAAGGTGATGGAACAACTTATTCTTGACTCCATTTCTAGGCATATCGAGGATGAGGGGATTATTAAGAACAGCCAACATGGTTTTATGAGGGGGAAGTCATGTTTGACCAACCTTATAGCCTTCTATGAGGAAGTGACTAGGTGGAGGGATGATGGTAGAGCAGTAGATGTGGTTTTTCTTGATTTCAGTAAGGCATTTGATACTGTCTCCCACAGCATTCTCATAGATAAGCTAAGGAAGTGTGGGCTTGACGATCAGGTAGTGAGGTGGATCAAGAACTGGTTGGAAGGAAGAAGGCAGAGAGTTGTGGTCAATGGTGCAGAGTCTAGCTGGAGATCTGTGACTAGTGGAGTGCCTCAGGGGTCGGTGCTGGGACCAGTGCTGTTTAATATTTTCATCAACGACCTGGACGAGGGAACCGAGTGTACTCTCAGCAAGTTCGCTGATGACACTAAACTGGGAGGAATGGCTGACACACCAGAAGGCTGTGCTGCCATTCAGCGAGACCTGGACAGGCTGGAGAGTTGGGCGGGGAGAAATTTGATGAAATTCAACAAGGGCAAGTGTAGAGTCTTGCATCTGGGGAAGAACAACCCCATGTACCAGTACAGGCTGGGGACTGACCTGCTGGAAAGTAGCGAAGGGGAAAGGGACCTGGGGGTCCTGGTGGATAGGAGGATGAACATGAGCCAGCAATGTGCCCTTGTGGCCAAGAAGGCAAATGGCATCCTGGGGTGCATTAGAAAGGGTGTGGTTAGTAGGTCAAGAGAGGTTCTCCTCCCCCTCTATTCTGCCTTGGTTAGGCCGCATCTGGAATATTGCATCCAGTTCTGGGCCCCTCAGTTCAAGAAGGACAGGGAACTGCTTGAAAGAGTCCAGTGCAGAGCCACAAAGATGATTAAGGGAGTGGAACACCTCCCTTATGAGGAGAGGCTGAAGGAGCTGGGTCTCTTCAGCTTGGAGGAGACTGAGGGGTGACCTCATCAGTGTTTACAAATATGTAACGGGTGGGTGTCATGATGATGGAGCTAGGCTTTTTTCAGTGATATCCAGTGATAGGACAAGGGGCAATGGGTGTAAACTGGAGCATAGAAGGTTCCACGTTAACATCAGGAAGAACTTCTTTACTGTGAGAGTGACAGAGCACTGGAACAGGTTGCCCAGGGGGGTTGTGGAGTCTCCCACATTGGAGATATTCAAGGCCCGCCTGGACAAGTTCCTGTGTGATGTACTCTAGGTTACCCTGCTCTTGCAGGGGGGTTGGACCAGATGATCTCTTGAGGTCCCTTCCAACCCTTGGAATTCTGTGATTCTTCAGCAGAAATACAGCGGATGTGCACATAGGGGTCAGAGCTGCAACTCTGCAGGGAAATCTGTCATCGCATCCAAGCATTAGATCCCAGAAAAAGTCAGTTTTCAAATGAGTTTGGCATTCTGGAAGGTTCCCAGGTTTCTGCAGGAATTCCAGAATACTGATGTATGGCTCTGCCCAATTCTGAAGCCAGCATGCTGCATGAGTAAGTTCTGTGCATCCTTCTATGTAGGCTGAATCTTCAGTGATTAAAAGAGCGTTGCACTAAGAGGAAGCTTTATGGTAAATATTCCCACTGGCAGGCAGCACCTTCACTCTCCTACCTTCCTTCAAGCTGAGGAGAGCTAAAAGCTGTAAAACATTATTGTCCCATGTACCCACAATATAATGATCTTTTGGGGTCAGGAGCACATTACATAACTGGGTCAAGGAGTCCTGTGACTGAGCAGCTCCCTGGTCATTGTATTTTCTTGGAAAGGATTTTTGTTTCTGAAATAATCAGCTCTTTCAACATTAACTGATCTTCTTCATTTGTTTTGTGTATTTAGTACAATTTTACATTTTGCATTCATTCACAGTAACAATACCATGTTCAGACACAACACTGCAATCTCTAGAAATTTTTATCACCTAAGTATCCAAGCTGGAAATTTCTGATCATGTTAATAAATCTCCAGCTGTAGGCACTACTCACTGTAGCTGCTGTTAATACCACCAAATTAAATTTGGGAATTACAGATGTACCTGCAGTCAGGTTAAGTGGCTCCAATAACCAAAGGGTGAGACTACCCTTTATCACTAATGCTGGACTTCAGTCTTTGTAGCCATAGGCACAAATTCTGTTTTTCTTGACATATCTGATTCCAAGATGGTGCTTGATTGTAAGAGACAGTTTCCTTTGGCACTTGGGACCCAGGCTTTGCAACCAAACATTTACATCTGCAATTGCAGGACCTGTGTTAAGAGCTTTCTGGCTCACTGCATAGACGCATGGATATTCTGCTGCCTGGGGCTATTTTCTGACTTGCATGGTTCTTTTTCTTGCCAACAGGCTACAGTATCACGTCCCAGGAGAGTACAGACAACTGCTCCAGCATGCTGAAGCAACCAAGGTGTTACAGCTTAGGAGAAAGCCTGATGACAAGGCAGACAGCAAAGGAGAAACACAGAAAGGAGGAGATGACATATGCTAAGAGCCTGAAGAAGAGGAGGTCTTTCCTGAAAACCGATTACACCTCACAGGTCACTTTTCCCTTAGCTTTACCAGGCCCTCTGCAAAGCTGCTGCTCTTGGCCACCCACACCAGCACTTCTTGCTCAGCTGCCCTCTTCACCCTCCTCAGAGAACATCAAGAATGCAGAGCTTCAAGTTCCTGCTGCAACCCACGCCCAGAGAAACAGTGCTAGCCCAAATCCATCCTCTGGCCTGGTGGAAATGGAGCCTTATACCATGGAAACAAAATCAGTGACTGACTCGTTGATTTCTTCCATTTCAGCTGTTCGCCTGCAGGGTGTTGCCATGCATGTGGACAGCAGCCTCCAACCTACACATGCTGTATGTCCACCTTTCCTGTCCCTGGAGGAAGGTGTGCCCCTTCCTGTGGGCACATCTTGTTTACAGGCTGTCAGGTCACCTGCTCAGGGAAGTTCCTCCATGAATAATGGGTTGCTGAGTGAGGAGAGATGTATGGACACCAAAGGCTGGCTGGCCCAAGTGGCACAGGAGGAGATGGGTGAGGTGATGGCAGCCCAGCAGGTTGGTGATACGCACCCATGCCCTGGCCAAGAAGTGACTTGCCCTGCTAACAAACACACACTGCCAGCTCATGGCTCCAGCATGGGCTCTCCCCATGAGGTGGACAAGGACCAGGCCCAGGAACCGCTCCTCACTGCTGAGAGGGAAGCAGTGTGTAAGGAGCCTGTCCCAGCTCTTTGTGAAGAAGAAAAACCTAATCATGACAGCTGTGCTGAAAACAGCAGTGACAGTGCCTTGTTACAGGCAAAAAGCAGACCAGCGATAAACAAGGAGGCCTTACAGAAAGCGAACAATAAAAAACACATAGGTTTTCCAGATGCAGCTCAGCTCTTAACAGATAGCAGCAGCACTTCTGGGGTTGGAACTCACCTCTCATGTGGGCTGAGGACAGACCTCACATTACCCAGCCCATCTCAGGAAAGGGTAGACATCCCACTAGAGCTTTTGGCCTCTGAGAAGACTAGTGGGTGCCTGGAGGCTGATGCTGTTGGAAAGGAGATACAAACATCCCCAGCCGGAGCACTGTTTGCGAAAGAGTTGCTAAGCAGCCAGGAGCTGGATGGAGACCCTAGAAAAGATGCAGGAAATGTGGCTCTCACACAGCCACAGCCTATTCAGACTCTTCCCAGAGAACAGTCTACTGAGGCGGGAAAAGACTCTCCTATAACTCCATCTGTAGTGCTTTCCACCTCCTCAGGCCCAGTTTCCTTTGGCTTGCTGGAGAAAAAAGCAGACCATGGGGCTTCAAAGCACTCCTTACTCTGCTTTAACCACAAGGAGGATGAGCAGAGTCCTTCTGACCCCATCATGACCAGGTCCTTGGGTTTTTCCACAACGAAGAGGACATCTCCACCACAGCTTGGGATGGACAAATGCAGCTGTCGTCTGTCCTATATCAGCTGCTTCCACAGGTCTGATGACAAGGGGGAATGTGAAACTACCATCCCCATGTGCAACACATTTCTGGGGCCCCTCACCACTCCACCGTCCAGCAGCTGCAGTCTTCCTGGGACCCCTGTGAGCAGTTACCCAGTCTCCATTGCTAGGGACATGGCATGGTGGGACCCTTACGTCCAAGCCCTCAGCAAGCTGAAGGACCAAGCACAGAGGAGCCCTGAAGATTTTTCCTGCTTCCTGGCTTACACCACAGAGCTTCAGGAGGTTGTGGGGAAGCTCTCCAGGAACCAAGCAACCCATCTGCAAGGTCAATGTTCTGAGCAGGGTGCTGAGAGCAAGGGTACCCTTGGCTTAGTCTCCCAGGATCTGCTGTCCAGTTGCCAGGAGCTCCTGAAAACAGAGCAGCCCCTAAAAGAGCTGCAGGGTGTGCTGAGGGTGATGTTCAACCACCTAGTTCAGCTGGCAGTGGCCTGCTTCCAGGTGACACACTGCCAGCTGTGCAGGCAGAGGCAGCAGAGGCTTGGGGCTGCACTCATGGATGTGGTGGGAACCTACCAGCAACTTGTGCAGGCTGGTCACCAGCAGCTTTGCAGTCAAGGCTGCCCGGATATGGGTGCCAACCTCCTTGCCCGCCAACACACAGCCCTCACAGCTTCCATCTTTTGTCTTCTGCATCAGCTCAGGGAACCCCCGTTGTCGTGATGGGGATGTTTGGTGGCACAAGTGCACTGGGTGGGAAGAGCCCAGCCATGTTCCTTCTGTTCACTATCAGGCTCTTCCCTACAGGGCATTTAGCCCCACAGTTCAAGAATCGGCACAGAAGCATGTGTCCCTGGTGTCAGCTTAGCTCCACCAAGAGCCACGCCTGTGCAGGGGGTGGTTATGATGCAGGGTGTACTGCCCTCCAGCCTAGCTTTGCGCAATTTTGTGTACGCAATCTCTCTATGTAATATGCAAATTCATAGAGTACTTCAGTGGCTTATGTATCTTGCCTGGGGCTTGTCCCTCACCTCTCAAAGGCCTTGCAGGTGGCTGGTCTCAAGGTGTTGTCTTAGCCTTCTGTCACCTGTGAAGCCTGCCTTTCTTGCCACTCCATACTCTCCAGGCAGTTTCCGAAATAAAATTATGTCAGATGCCAACCTGGCCCCATGTGAAGGAAACCAGGATACTTTGTCCACCACGTGTGGCTAAGGATGTAATGGAAATCTCTTTGGGAAACAAACCATGCTGTATTTAACTGCCTTTTCTTGCAGCCACAGAAGAGGCTTGTCCCAGGCAATGTAGGCAACACCATATCCTGCTTTTCTGATCTGGTTTCTGTGTGTCAGCCAGCTCTTCTATTTACATTTGCTGATGCTTGAGAAAGTCCCTAACACTCCCCTGCCCCTGGTCTGGGCTAGCATATGTTGCTGCATAGCAAACTCAGGGGCTCAATTGTAAAGTTAAAGGCTCTTACATGGAGCTGAAGTGCAAACCTCTAACTACACACCAACAGCTAATGAGAGGGGGAATGTGAAGACTAAGAATTGGAAGGACACATAAGGCACAGCAGAGCTGCAGGCACTGGCAAACACAAATTCAGCAAAAATGCGGAGAAAGGCCTGGTGCAACAGGTGCTACTGATACTGCCTCATGGCACTGAATTCCAGGTGTTGTAAAAGGCTCTTGATATGAAAGAAAAATGAAAATACATATGCAAATGAGATAGCAATTTACCTCAGAAGACCTTCAAGTCCTTCCACTGGTGGTTGGAGCTAGTCATTTACAGCGACATGGAGGCTGTTTGGTGGTTTGTTGGGGTTTTGGGGATTTTTTTAGCAATAATGGCTGAGGTTACATATCAACTTAGATGCATCAAAGATGCTTTCTGCTGTGGCTATGAACTATATCTGTTCTCTTTGTGCAGGGCAGAGTCAGATCCCAGATACCCTTCCAGGAGGAACTTCAGGGTTAGTGAACTTCGCATGTCAGTGTGTGATGACGCATAAGTAACCATAAGGATGCAATGGGAGTTTAAGAGTAAACATTTTATTTTAGGTTTTTAAAATAGAAGCACAGGATTAGCTATAGGCTTCAACAACTCCCCGAGTCTTCAACTGATTTAAAGTTGTCAGGACACAGTGCACCTGGAAACAGTTTCTCCATCTGGGAATCCCATCTTGTGCTCCCCCATCGGAACAGCATTGTCCTTTTCCATGGGAAGAAATTTTCCTCACCAGGGAGCTTTGCAATTCTAACTTCACCTTACTTACTGTTTTAGCAAGATGAAAGAAATATATTAAAGCACTCCTTGCTGCCCCAGAACAAGTGTAGATGCAAGAGTCAGAAACACTCTAGAAGCATCTGTAAAGAAGTAGAATTGAATCCCTGTCAGTTTCCACTGGATCCCAGGGCTCCATTAGCTTATGTTTTATGTTCAAGAGGAAAAAGTATTTTCCAGCATTGTACTGCTGAGTCGAAATGCGTCACTCTTGATAGGGTCCTTGAACAAGATTTAAGCAGAGCTATCCTCTCTATGCATATTCATGCTGGTGCCTCTGCTCAAAATTTGGAGTTTGTCTCTCTTGTCTGCACAGCTCTTTAACATTACAAAATAAAGAATTTTCTTGTGCATTATCATGCTGAGGTATTTTCACTTATTTCATGGCCTCTGGTAGCACATAGCCTTTTCCAGAAGAAACTCCAGCTTTCAAGGCTGCTGGCCAGCTTCGAGTCTCATAGTAAGTTGATAAGATATCAAAGACTGTCAAGAAGAGATGTGATAACGGTATCAATAGCAAGCTCTATTAATACACACCCCATTGGCTGCAAAGCATCAGGAAGTTACAATAGCTGATGACAGAGAAGGTTAGCATGGGATCTGGTGGTTTGCCTTCCTCTCATTTAAAATCTGACACATAAGTGTTTGAGGCAGCTTCAAAACAGCACATGAAACCATTTTGAAGATTACTTTGGGGAGCTCTGGGTAGGTAAGGCAGAGGCTGTGTCAACTATAGCAAGGTTCCCCAGTCACCGTTTGACTAACCTGTACTACCCATTGCTGCTGACCATGATGGTGGGTTATACCTACTGCACTTCCACCATTGTTTCTCAGATGCTGTGTTTCCACATCTCCACATGGTGGTCTCTAGCAGCTATGCTTGGTCCTTTGCAGGGCCCTCCACCACCTCCTCTGCCTTGTGCTGATGGAGATGGCAATGATGTCCTCACGCCAGAGGTAAGAATTTACTAGAGCTGGCCTAGGACACCTCTCTGCTCCGTAATCTATAGCAGAGAGATGTTCACATTAAAAAGCCACAGACTGCCGGTGGAGGTAGAGCATGGACACATCCACTGGTGTGACTGGGTGGCCCAAACCATAATCATGACATGAAGCCATCGCAGTGGTGGAGCACATCACATCATCCTGGTGTTGTGAGCCTTGCCTTGACTGAGTCTGACACAGGCAAGACAATTTCTGTTCTCCCTTGCCTGGGACCTTGTATGACTCATAGCAACAGCAGCCTCCTCACATCTCCCTCACACTAAATGCTCGCTGCTTTGTGCAAAGCAAGTCCTGTGTCCCTGAGAATGCGCTGATGCAGAGAAGCACACAAGACCTTTAAAAAGGGTTATCAGGAATAAATCCTATTAAGAGAAACCTCTGATCCCAGTGCTTCCCCCATTACTCAGCAATGGGAAATAATTCTGAAAATACCTGGCTTCAGTGCTTGATAGCCCCCTCTCCCTGCCCAGTCAAGTGAAAGGACATGGTTCAGCCTCTCACCTTGATTAATTGCCAGGGTCTCTGAGTGGTAGTTCTTGGTGTTAACAGCTTTCACCATGTACTCGCGAATGGGGAGACGGGCTGTTTGCAAGGACTGCTCTCGTGCCCTTTGCAGAGTCAGCTTCTGCAAAGGAAACAATAACAAGGTGCCCCATGTGCACAAACTTGCATATGCACAGCATGCACAATATTTTGGGTGCAAGCAGCTACGAAGCTAAAAGCTGTCCTGGGGCATGTTTCACCCAGACTGCCACAGTCTCTCAGCCTGGCACTGGATCCAGGCAGAACCTTGGGGAAAAAATGTATGGTGGCACAACAGTGATGTCTCAAATCACGGCAGCAGGAGCACTGGGTACTACAAGTGGGATGTCTCTGCTCTCAGGAGATAATGGGGGAGACAGCACCTTCAGGTTCCAACAGCCTGCTACCCACCTTGTGAATACTTTCATCCACCAGGCCTCCGAGGATGTATACTTTATTTGGATCAATATCTTCAAGGACTAGAAACAAGATAAGCACTCGCTCACCACCATACAACAGTAAAATCCTGTGTTACACCATTTTCCAAGCAAGAGCCCACTTCCAGTAAGAAACTGTGGCCAGAGTCTCCCTTTACCCTGGAGCCTCAGACCATGCAGGAGGCTGAGACTTCAGAGACAGACGTGTCTGCCTGAACCTGCAGGCAGCGTGAAAGGGAGAAATGCTTTTCTCAGCCTTTTCAGAAAGGCTGAAAGCACAGAGCACCACAAATATCATACATTGCTCCCTTTAACCACTGTTCGTTATAAGATGTGGCTAATTTGGTCAATCTGATCCCAATCTGCTCCAGTGTTCCCACTACCAGGGTTCCCTACTAAAACCTTCGCCCACCAGTCCCAGATAATTTAGCAGAGTACGGCACTTTTGTAAAACAAGACAAGGGATCTATGCCCTCAGCAACACATGGCAGGTTAGAAATAGAGGAAGAGGAGAAAATAAACACAGTAGCAAATTAAGCAATAAAGAGAACATAGTTGCTGCTGCATTTCAGAGAAAGATGTCATTTAGACTGTAGCCAAAACTGCCACAGCATCTCTACCACTTCCTAGTACTACAAGCTGCAAAGGATGTACACGCAAGTTTTAGTTAAGTCTGCTGCAGATCACACACAGCCCTAAGTTGAAACCTCATTTCATAAAAACAGATTGAGATAGGAATAGATTGAGCATCAGATTTAAATACAAAGTACATCTCATACAATTTGAGACAGTGAATACATGGAATTGCATCACATGAAGTATTAAATAGTCTGAAAAAGAAAAGCATAAAAAACACCCATTTGCCCTAGCTCCCCTGTGCCTAAAGCATGTGAAATATTTACCATTCTCAGAGTCAGGAGTGAGATAAACAATTGCATCTAAAGGAAACAGGTCCAGGTAACTTTCTTGGGTCGTATCCATCTGAAAAATGCAAGACATGGAGAGAAGAAGCCCATGAGGCCAAAGTCCATTTGCCAGAGCAAAACTCACTCTCGGACACAGCAATATGCGGATGATACTGCCTTAGGTGTTTACACTCCTGGAGATAGTGGATTTTGTCTTAACTGAAAAATGTTTCTATATGAGCATTGAACAATACATATTTCAAAATCCCTTAAATTCTTTTCTAATCAAAATCACTATTCTTTAAGGAAAGGATAGCAGAAAAAAAATCACCTAATTTTAAATGAGATTCTAATTCTTAAGAAATTCAGGAATCTCCACCTTGGTTTGTCCCCTCACTGTTACCAGGTGCAGACCCCACATGTGCTGTAGAACACACAGCTTAATGTCACCACCATGTGTGTGTGTCTTGTGCTTGAGTCAGACCAAGCTCAATGAAAAAACGCAGGACATGAATATGTGACCTGCCCAAACCCTGATCAAGCATATACAGCTGCCTGTCCCCAGTATCACAGGTCTTTTTACAGAAGTAGCATCTGGAGAAGGAATTCTCCTGCAAGCAGGAAGGACAGGAGCTCTAACCTGAAGCCTTTGTACATTCCCCATTATCTGTCAGTCTTCATCTCCTGTCAAAAGGTAAGAAGATCTGAACTTAACCATTGCCACTAAACTGAATTCCCACATAACTCCCAGCTCTCATCTGAGCGCACCTCAGCCTGTTGTGGGTCAACACTGAAGGCCAGGAGCAGCTACAGGGTGCTACAAGCCTTGAATGCACTGTCATCAGAGACCCTTACCAAATAATTGGAGAAGCCGTCGTTCATGCGAAAACACTCCTCATAGATCAACGAGCCCACAACAAACTCCGTCAGACAGAGCCAAAATGGCTTCTCAGCCCGCCTGTTGGCCCCATAGAGTCTCCTGATCTGGGAGGCGAGGCGGCTTGTTTCCTTCCAATAAATAACAAGCACAGTGACCCACAAGTCAAGGGGCAGGGGGTAACACGGCTCTACTCAGGATCTGCAGACATCCATGATGCCCGAGTCACCGACTGCTCGCTGAGGCTCTGGAAAGGCTGTTCCTGTGGAGCACAGTTCAACTGCCTCAAAGAAACACAGAGTTGGGTGCGCAGCCAGCCAGGAAGCCGCGTGCAGGCTAAGGGGGTGTAAGGACAGGCAGGGATGCGAGGGGACAGCATCCCCCTAGAGGCTGAGCTCAGGTGAGCTGCTGTGTGGACCCTTCTAGTTGAGCTTCAGGTCAACTAGATCCTTCAGCTCTAGTTACGCTGAAGCACCGGTGCAGAGGACGCAGCAGGCAGGGTGCCCCGTACCTTCTCAGTCATGCGGTCGGCCACCCCGAGGTCCACGCAGAGCCGGGGCCCCGAGGTCTTGGCCTGCAGAAGGCGCTCCTTCGCGAGGGCGGCCGGGACCTTCCCGCAGTCCCGACTGGCAGCTCCTGGGAGGCAGAGCAGCGAGAGGCCAGCCTGAGCCCCGGCAGGCAGCGGAGCCACGGGCGGACCCCGTTCCCTCGGCCAGGAGCCCCTCGACGGGGCCACTCCGTACAGCGCCGTGCCGTGTCGTAGCGCCCCTCACCTGCGCCACCAGCCCGCCGGGCCCTGCTCCGCTCCCGCTCTTGCGGCCTCTTGCTCTTCTTGGCCGCCAGCACCCGCTCCCAGCGCCTCCGCTTCCGCAGCACATTTCTCTGTGGGAGCAGCGGGGCCTCAGCCCTACGGCCTCCTGCCCATGAGGAGGCCGCGGGACCGGCGTCAAGGCGGAGCTAAGCCCTGCCACCCCTCGCCCCTCCCGCGGCACCTACCGAGCACCGCGCCGCGCCGCCCGCCCGCCCCGCGCCGGAGCTGACGGCCGAGGGCTCGATCCGCAGCAAACGGAGAGCCTCGCAGGCTACCGCCGCCTCCCCATCAGGCTCCAACGACAGACAGCCGTCATCTACGCCGCCACCGGCCATCGGCGCCACTCTCCCTTCCCGGGGTGGGACCTTCCGCGGGAGGCGCGGGGACCGAGGAGTGCTCTCTTGTGGCGCCGCGAGAGCTAGCGAGCGGGCCCGACAACCCAGTGCACGCTCGCAGCGCTCGGAGCAGGCTCCTGGACGCCTACCCGGGCCCTCCCGCCTCCGAGGCGGGGCGAGGCGGGGCGAGGCGGGGCGAGGCGGGGCGAGGCGGGGCGAGGCGGGGCGAGGCGGGGCGAGGCGAGGGAAGGCGCGTTAGGTCAGGTGGTGCTCCGGCAGCCGTAGTCTGTGGCTCGCAGGGAGAGGACGGGCGATGAGGAGCTCTTTGCTGCGGGGCGTGCGGTTGTGCCTCGGCTGCCCGCCCGTGAGTAGGGGCTCGACCGGGGATCCCCGGGGGACGGTGGGGAGGCACCGTCTGGAGGAGCCACTCCTCCGGGCCGCCCGGGGCCTGTCCACTGAAGGAGTGG